GTCTGCATTGTTGGTTGAATCCTGGACTTTATTCTGATTCAAAAGCCCAAAGTCAGGCAGTTTGCTTTCTTTGGACTCTATTCTTTGGCTCTGTCTGAGGAGAGAGTTTACTTATATTCTTAATTGCAGAGTCAAGCACCCAAAAGAGTAAATGACATTATAAAAAGAGTCAGTCTGGTATTTGGCAATTCTTATTAATTTATCATGACGCAGATGCTTAGAACAAGGGAAGAACAGAATAAAAGAGGTAGGATTTTATGACCTTACTGGTGAAACATTCGTTTCATCCATAATACCCCCATCATGATCACCTCATCAACATCCATCTTTACTGTGATGGCAAGAAACACTGTTGGATGGAATATAGCATAGCAATTTAAATAAAACCATTGACTCTAGCGGAATGTCAAGTAGTTTAATTGAAATCACTGTTTAGCCAACAAGATGCCATTATTTGGGGTATTTATGTAGCAATATGGGTTCAGCTTTCTTGATTTTCATCCTGAAATAAAACTGAAGGCTGTACTGAGAAACTGGGTGGTTTGCTTATAAATCTTAATTTTGCAATTGTGGAAACTGCCAGTCGGGAGAAAGAGAAATGGCATCTCCTGTGTTAAATGTTGATTCAAATTCATTTTAAACTAAAATCCTAGGTTTTTAACAACACCTTGCTTGGAAGGACAGGAGGAAAGAAGGAAAACAGGGGTCTTGGTGGTCATGCATGTCTAACTTTCTTGGTTCCCTCCTACCTCTCTAGTTACTGCTTCCAGAGTGATCCATATCTGATTCCACGAATGGACCCAACCTGGGATCCAAGCACACTAGCAAAATTAAATGTTGCAAGACTAGAGACAGGAAACTGGTGTATGGGTAGGAAGCACCCAGTAGATTCTCTTCTTGATAGCTGCTAAGGGCCCCTCCTTTATCCCTCTTTCTCCCACTTTCTATCTCTCTCCTGATGAATGTGTAGTGCCAAAGATATGGGAAATTTAAAGAACTTATAATTGATGGAATGTTTTCTAGCTACTTGCTTTGGTGATGTGTGCATAGGTAGGGAATAGCACCTTTGTCCAGCACAAATCCCTCTTCCTACTACTTCCAAATGAAAAGTTGTGAAGTGTTCCCTTCCCTAGTGAAGGCAGTGTTTTGCTCCAGAATATACAATGGATTTCTCACACCTGGTCATGCTCAGGGCTTATTCCTGGGTCTTTGCTCAAAGATCACTCTTGGTAGGCTTGGGAGACTATTTGGGGTGCCAGGGATCAAACATGCATGTGCTAGGCGAGTGCACTGCCCATTTGGCCACTGTACTATCTTTCCAGTCCCCTCATCAACAGACATTTTTTGAATACATACAGTGTGCCAGTCACTGAACCTGGCACTGGGCATATATAAGTAAATAAGATATACATGGAGCTATCAGTCTAGAGGGAAAGATAACATTTTAACAAAGGAAATACCATTACTATTGAACAAGGATAATTTTTGGGATGTAAGTGAAAGGTGATCTGGAAGGACAGGATGGGATCCTTCACCATAGCTGCATTCTTGCCCCATTGGGCTTATCTGGAGTATGGTACTTCTAGAATACCAATTATCCCTCCACAGAAGGAATCAGACCTTTTTTCTTCCTACTCATGGGCTCTCTATTTGAAGCTTGCCTCTCACCTAAGGTTTTACCTTTATTGGTAGAAAAACACTGGACATAGAAGAAAGGCAAAAACTTAAATTTCCTCTCAGAAATGCATGCAGTCCTTACTACATTGGTCCAGGAGAAGGGAAGAGTGGCCCTGTTTTGATGTGGTCTCATTGCAGATCCTTGATGTTTCTTTAATAAAAAAAAACACGGCCAGTGTGCAGTGAAGAAACTGAAGTTAGCAGATTCAGCTGGGGAGCCGGGTATGGAGTCAACACCAATTTACTTGGAATTGAGCTTATTATTATATAGTATCAAAATATTCATCATATCAGGAATCAGAATAGTGAGGGCAGCTCAGTCACTAGGCCTAGCCCTGACCTGCCACCCACTGCCAACGAAGCTCTGCCCACAGTCTCCTTTCATCTGCTCATACCTCATTTCTTCTCCCCAGCAGTGATCAGTCTAAACAGCTCATAAGTCATGGAAAAGTATCCCTGGAGAGTCTAGCCAAATTCCTACTTCCTGCCAGTCACTCTGGTTCAGATTTGACTCTTCCAAGTGGAATTTTGTGTCCTCATTTAACGACTGGATTTTACATTTGTTTATTTTTATGCTAATTAGATTCTAACTTTTCTAGTATCCATGGTCCAATTTACTTAACAACAATCAACTCTTTACTGAAAAGCTAATGATATTATTAACTAGTTGTAGAGCTTTTTTGAATTACATAAGAGACAATCCTCTCAAGGACCAGAGTACCACATACGGTTTCCCTAGCACTACCAGGAATGATCCTTAAGAACAGTTGGGTGTGGTCTTCTCCCACGAACATAAAATATAAACATATTACCTGAGTTACAACAATATAAAAATATTATTGCAAATAAAAAGGAAATACAATGATCTAAAGGAATAAATGAAAACAAGTCATTCAGGATCATTGGTGCAGACACAGATATTCTGTTCAAGGATTTTTACCAACAGATTATAAAGGGTTATAAGGTTGAAAACATTTTTTTGGTGAAGCACAATATTTTTTATTGAAACTTATTTGGAAAGATGGGAGGGTCAATAAAGAAAGAAGTATGTGTTCAAGAGAGAAGACGGGCTTATCCAGGTGGAAATAGGCAAGCAAAGAAACATAGAGACAAGCAAGTGAGGTAACATGGTCAAGGGAGAACAAGGGCTTGAAGAGCAAGCTGGAAACATTTTTAGAAGGAGAAAATGAAGAAAGGATCACCAGAAAAAGAAAAGGTAGCACAGTAAAGTCAAAGAAGTAGATTAGTGGTAGCTCAGATGGGAGCTCAGTGGTATGAAAATACACTTATCTGCAGGGGGCAAACTCTTTAGCATATGTCTGAAGCCAGAAATAGCAATGGGCCCCATACTTATGATCATTTCTCCTATACATAAAAACTTACACAAAGTTTTATTTATAAATTAAACAAGTAAGAATTTAATAATAGGCTTGCTCTTCAAGCCCGTGTTCCTGCTGAACACATAAATATGTTGCTTATCTCTATATTTCTTTGCTTGATTATTTCAACTCTGAAGAACTCCGTTTTGAATATTGAACACACACTTCTTTCTCTTTCCTCAGACCTTTCTAAATAAGATTCAATAAAAACTTTCTTGCTTCACCAAAAAAGGGTAAATTAACAATAATCATGGTCACAGTCCTCCCGTTGTTCATCGATTTGCTCGAGCGGGCCCAGTAACGTCTCCATCGTGAGACTTGTTGTTACTGTGTTTGGCATATTGAATATGTCACAGGTAGCTTGCCAGGCTTTGCCGGGCTCTCTGAGAGGGGCAGAGGAATCGAACCCGGCTCGGCCGGGCCGGCTGCGCGCAAGGCAAACGTCGTACAGCTGTGCTATCGCTCCAGCCCTTAACAATAATATAATAGATTAATTGTATGAATACACAGCAATAAAGCTATATGATTGTGTTGTGTGTCTATTCCACAAAATTTGCGTAGATAATACTTTCAGATCATTGTTGACAAGGGAATAACTGTGGAGAGTTAACTCACATAAAAGGAGCAGGGGCACCACTATAAGAATTCTGAAATTCTCTAAGTGCATAGAACACACACATACTCAAGCACTCTGGTTTTCTGAGGAAACCAGTGTTCCCCCTCCCCCCTTTTTGCCTTGAAGGATGGAGAGAAACCAGAACCTGCACACCCTAGCTGTGTCCTGAACATACTCTGAGGAGGGCATCACTAGGGATCAGGGCAACCAGAGAGCGCTCATCTCACAGCCAGCAAATCCTGCTAGTAGGAGGCGCTGTGCTCTCCTTTTGTATAATATATTGAGCGGCGTCCATCTAGTCAAACAGAATCTGTTGTTCCAAAGAATGGGTTTATTCTCATTCATTCATTTTTGAGCCTTGACATCAGTCCTGGCACTGTGGGAATTCTCAGGGACACTGTCTTGCTGAGTAGATATTTGCTTCTCTTCCCCACATTTCCCAGCTCCTCGACGCGGCCAGGCTGTACTCAGCCTAGTTTAGCCTCTGAGTAGTCCGAATTAAGTCTTTGGGGAAAGAAAACTTGATGGTGAAGTCATTGGGTCGATCTCCGCTGGTTACGTAGTGTGGGCGCGGGCGCGCATGAATTTTTTATTATTTATAAAAAAATTCTAATTGCAGAACAAAACAGAAAACAACTTTAAACATCAGTACTGGTACTCCAGAACAACTCGGGAGGACTCAAGGTATATGACCGCCCCGTCCCAGCACCCAACTGTGTTGTGCGTCCCACAGACACAGACACACACACGCGCACACACCACACACGACCGCTCCCGCCCAGCACTACAACACACACACACACACACACACACACACACACACACACACACACACACGCGTGCGCGCGCGCGCGCCGCCTCCACCACGACCGCCACTGCCACTCTTGCAGACATTCCTTCTTTCACGCTCCAGCTCTTTCTTTTCACTCCTATTTCTCTTTCCCTCCTCTCCGGGATCAAGCGTTAATCTTCGAATCTCTGACCGCAGAAGTCGGGAGGGGGGAGAAGGTGTGTGTGGAGGGGGATCCCGAAGTAGCAGAGTGAGGGAGGAGGAGGTGGAGAAAGGCGGGGAGGAGGAGGAGCCCAACGAACCAGAGTCAGAGGGACTCGGTGGCTCCAGCTATCGTGCAGCCCAGGGGGGAGCCCGAGCCCCAGGCTGGGAAAGCTTCAGCCCGCCTACCCGCCCGCGTCTTTGGCGCCCGCCGGCCCGTGCCAGGGGCCTTCTGCACCCGGAGCTGGGGCCACCGCTTGGGACCGCCGGGGCCAGGGCCGTTGCTCAGGGTGAGCCCGCCGCTCCACCAGGCGGGTCCCCCGCACTCGTGCCCGAAATGCCCTTTTACAGGCGCACCGTGGTGCCCCAGCGCCTGTGCCCACGCAACCCGCCTCATCCGCTGACGGAGCTCCACGACGTGAGCCACCTGGCCGCACTTAGCTTGCTCCGGCAACTCGCAGACCTCTGCGGCCACTCGGTGGCTTTGCTCGAGAACCTCGAGGGGCACCTGCTGGTCCTGGGGCGCCGCACCGACAGCCTGTGCCAACGAACCGTGCGCCTCCGCCGCCGTCTCCCCTGCCGCCTGCTCGCCCCGGACGACGACGACGACGAGCTACTAGGTAAACGGCGCCCGTGTCTACCCCGCCTCTTGGGGCGCCTGTAGGCGCCAGGCTCTGCGTCCACCCCTCCCCCGTCCTCCCCGGCCCTCCTTTCCCCTCCTTTCCCTTCTCCTCGCCTTGTGTGGAAATCCCGTTTCCCGGATTCCCCCATCCGCCTCTAGCTTGCTCCAACTTCCTGCTGCAGGACCCTGCCGAACCGTCCGGAGTAGTCCTGTGCGCTCGGGGCTTTTGGCCCCGAGGTTGCTGCTTCTTCCTGGGCATCTGGGAGTTAAGGCTGCTGGTGGGGACGCTCGGAGTCACTGAATCTGGACGGGTTGGGCGCCGCCCCCAGGCCCAAAGCGTCCCCCCCGCCACCGCTTCAAAACTTCGGGAACCAAATAGCGCACCACTGGCGTCTTTGCTCCCGGTTCTAGGAGCATGGCCACTTTCGGAACGCGTACAGGAGTCGCGGTCACAGATGCAGACCCAGAAACCTGGTGGCGGTGGCTACTTTCTTTCAGTGCGTGGTACTTTGCTATGGAGTGTGATTGTGGCTTGAACACAGGGAACTTGTTTGAGTTCTTGCTTGCTCCTTCTGGAGCATTTGGGGCCTCTCTGCCTCAAGAGGTTGGACGAGACAGTGGAGGAGACTTTTCCCGGACTCTGCTGACTGTCCACCCTGGGGGTCTGACAGCCCACATACCAGAGAGAACTATTTAAACAACTGTCATCGGTTTCATGATTCCTTTAGGAACTAGTCATGCTTGCGAGACCCATGGTGCCTTGGCTGAGCATGGGAGACCAGTCAGCGTAGAAGGGCAGTCCAAGCCCTGGGCATTTCTTACTGTGGACGCCAACGCTTTGACTGAGGAAGCATCACTCTGTGGAAAAGCGGTGGCCCCTTAGAGTGTGAGACTTTGGGGAAAGCAAAGGAACGGAATGTGCTGGAAATGTTAAGCATAAATGGGACATGCCAGGTAGCAGGGCCAATTGGCCCTCCAGAAAGTTAGAGAGAAGGAGCTCTGTGACTGGAAAGTTGCAAATGGACTCACAAGGTGACTTACTGGCTAACTTTTGAGAGTATACCTCCAACTGCCTTGGGAAAGAATTTCCTGGGTCAGCCCCTCTCCACAGTAATCCCCATATTGCCTCCACCCCTGCCACACTTAGCTTGCTCCCGCAACTCGTGGGAAAGGAGTCAGAGGCCCAGGCACCCCTCTTAAAAAAGGACTCTGATCCAGAGGGCAGAGGTAGATGGTAGGGGGAAGTGGTGGAGAAAAATGAGCTGAGTCCTGTGGGGAAAGGAAGGTGGAAGACACAGATGACTGCCAGATGGAAAGTGGACTTGGGACCAGAAACCTGGGCAAGGCAAGGGAACCAGGAAAGCTGCAGCAACTCTGTCTGGTTAGTTCTCACTTAACAGAGGCTGGGAAAGGTCATTGTTGATTTTTTTTCTGGAATCCCACTGACTACCAAGATTGGTTTAGGAGAAATCTGATAAGTCAGCTTGGGGAATAGTTTTCAAAATCCCCCAAACAACTTTCTGAACCTACTGGATTCAGCAGATCAGTCAAGGAAAGTATAAGAAAGAGATTCTGCTTTTTTCAGCTTGTATCATTTCTACATACTGGCTTGGGGAGCCCTTCTCTTGTAAGTGAAGGTGTCACTTCACCAACCTGCCTTGGTGCCTCTCTTCATTGCTCTATTGCGTTATTGAACTGACTTTAGGCAGTAGGTACCTTTTAAAGAAGAGATTTTTTTTTGTTTTGTAGCAAACCAGTCATACCAGTGGTGCTTAGGGATTACTCCTGGTTCTGCACTCAGGTTTCATTCCTGGAGAGGCTCTGGGAGACTATATGGTGTTCCAGGGGTCAAACCCAGGTTGAATATATGCAAGCCAAATGCCTGACCCACTGTACTTGATGCTCAGGCACCAAGAAGGGAGTAATTCTTTGGCCAAATTGCCCTGATTTGGCTTCTTTGAAGTTTGCAGAAGCTCAAATGGTGGCTATCTCTCATCTTTGATGTGGTCACTTGCCTTTGAGAATGTGTATGTGTCTGAGCTCAGAGGCACTGAGGGATCTGCTGCAAAAATGGTACTTTAATTTGGCAAGAAGGCTTAGTTTTCCATTTTTCTGGTCTAATGTCCTACCCTGGGCTCCCCTTGAGTTTCCCACTACATACTTTTCTCTATAGGAGCTTCATGTAACACTTAAAATAGACCTTTTCAGCATTACTCTGAGCGTAAGTGCCAGATAGAAACGGGGAAAAAGATCAACATGCCATATGGTCACTCCCTTGTCTCTTGGGCATAAGCGTCAACAAGGTGTGCAGCAAGCCATATGTTATATTTGGACTTCAAATAAATATCCCACTCCCTCACCTGCCTCATTGTCAGATTTTGTTCTCTCCCCCACTCCATTCTCTGTGCCTTTTCCTCCTGGCACTTCTACTCCCATTTTCACTAGTGGACAATCCTCCTAGATGATATTTTATCCTGCATATTCTCCTGTTGGCTAGAATTATCCTAAATTCTTATCCTAAATTCTTTAGCTATTTCTTTAGCCATGAGAGAGGAAATATTTAGCTCAAGATGGAGGAAGGTTTGGAAGTCACATGGTCAGAGTGAATGATACCCAACAAGACAGCAGCTTGGAGATTCCCTGCAGGGACAGCTTGGCTGCCATGTAGAGACTGAACAATGTCCCATAGCATTCAGGTTCTTAGAGACCAAACTATAGGCTGAGGTCCAGACCCTGGGAGGCAGCTGAGAGAGGACTAGAGGGAAGGGAGAAATATGGAATTGTTGCCAAGAGAGTTCTACATGTTACTCTGCACAATTGATTATCATGACCTTACCTCCCACCTAATATTCAAGGTATGCAGGATGGAATCATCTCTCCTTGATTGTAAATAGTTCCTTAGTAACTTGAGTTCTTTTGGCATTGCCCTAGAAACTCTTGTAACTGTATGGGATAAGGGATATGGAGTGAAAAGAGGAGATGTTTCACTTTGACACTTCTTGTGGATCTGTGGCTGTTGCTATACCCTTAATATGGCTCTGCCTTAAGTGATTTTGAATGTGACCTGCTTTACTGCATTTTTGTTTTGCACTCTGGGTTCTTCATCTGAAGAATGGCATGATCAAAGCCAGTGGGAAATACTTCCATGCCTGCTTCCATATGCTGAGTCAATCCAAACTTTTCAATTTCTCCCTCAGAGATCTAGTTAATATTTCTAGGTTCTTAGATAATTACAAAAGCAATCAAATCATTGGCCTAGGGGTATAATATCTCCTGTGGGCAAGGAAGTCACTGAAGCACTAGACAACTCTAGGTATGTTTAATGACACTAGGGAACTATCACATTACAATTGCTGTAGGAAAGATGCTGTTACTTCTTGCAATTACTTGGCTTGTATATAACCAGTTGCGTCAGTGGTGAAAACTCCTCTCATCTTTATGTTAAATTCTCTTTATTTTTGCAACTTTATGACAACTCTGACTCCAGATCAAAAAGGACAGCTGGTTTATTTATGTTTAAATTGTAATTCCAGTGCAAAGGGATACTGTAAATCTACATGGAGATGAAAAATGAAAGTTGCACCTCTAGCTAGGAGCCAGTTTACCATTAAGGGTATAGCAACAGTCACAGATCCACAAGAAGTGTCATACCAAATGAGGTGTCATAGGGGCTGGAGCGATAGCACAGGGGGTAGGGCATTTGCCTTGCACGCAGCCGACCTGGGTTTAATTCCCAGCATCCTATATGGTCCCCCGAACACCACCAGGAGTAATTCCTGAGTGCAGAGCCAGGAGTAACCCCAGTGCATCACAGGGTGTGACCCAAAAGCAAAAAAATGAGATGTCATAGACCCTGTCATTGCTACTGAGTAGGGCATATGGCCTGCTTTAGTCAGAGGGACCAAGGGGAGCTTTGGGTTTTACATATATATGTATATATTTAGAGTTTGGGGGCCACACCTGATGTTTCTCAGGTTTTCCTCTTATCTTTTTGCTTGGGAAACACTCCTGGCAGAACTCAGGGGACTGTTTGCAGTACTGGGGATCAAACTAAGGTGAGCTAATATGCAAAGCAAGTGTCTTACCCCTTTTGCTAGTTCTCTGTTCCAAGAGATTTGGGGATTTGAACAGGCATTCTTCCAGGACTTTTCTTATCTGTTTCCTGCCTGCAACTGCAAGAGACCCTTGGGTGAGTGGCTTAATATGGGGTGTGTGTGGAGAGATATTACAGTAAGTAGGGAACTTGTCTTGCATGCAGCTAAACCATGTTTGATTACTAGAACCCCATAAAGGTCCCTTTAGGACCACCAAAAGGGATCTCTGAGAACAAAGCCAGGAGTGTATCCTGAGCACAGCTGGGTGACCCAAAGGAAAACCAACAACAGAGGGGAGTGAGAATGAAGCCCTTTTTCTTTTGAATACTATGAAATTATTGAATTGACTTGAGTTCTATATCAAAAAGTAAGATCTGACATTCAAGCCTCTGCAGTGACACCAAGATGCATATATTGTTCATGGAATTGCTGTCCTGATGTGTTTGTATTGTGAGTTAATGTGTGTGTGAGTGTGTGTGCTCAGACTTGTCTAGGATTAGTAATGACTCCTTTCAACTTTGAGAACTTAAGGGTATCTAAATAGCAGAGCTCCTTATAGTTTCTGTAGTTGGGGCTTGTTGTGGTGGGGGTGGGAGGGACTAGAGGTAGAGAGAAGGAAGGAGAGTCAATTTACACAATTTAGAGAATCAGAGCATCAGTTTACTTTATCAAAACAGAACAGTCTTTAAATTTTTTTTTAACAATCTTCTTTCAAAAAGAATAGCTTTGGGGAAAGAATCTTCAGGTGGATAGAGGTGACTTGGTCAGTGATCCTGATACTCTCATCTGTGGGTTAGGCTTATTGCACTCATAATCCATTTGTCATCCTTTTTCCTATATCCTTTTTTTCCTCAATAATTTTTAATTCTGTTGTGGACACTCTTCATCACAAACCCACATTCTA